GTGGTAGTAGTCGTAGTAGTCGTAGTCGTAGTCGTAGTCGTAGTCGTAGTAGTAGTTTCGCTCTGTAATTTGTTCTTTGTTTTGTTGGTCATGTCCTTCTGTGTTCATGTTTCTGTCGTTATTGCTTTCTTTCGTGCGTTCATGAATTTCATTTTATTTGATTATGGTTGTCGTTTGCTTTCGTTCGTTACGTCTTTCATTTTTCGGTATTTCGTTGATTATTCTTTCGCTCGTGCCGTCGTTAGTTCTTTCGCTCTTTATTTAGTCATATCGCTGTTTCGCTCTTTCGATCTTTCGTTCATTATTTCTTTAACTGTTTCGTTTGTTTTGCGTCGTTTTTTCTTTGGTTTGTTCCGTCTCTATGTATTGATATGTTTATTTCTGTCTGTCCTGTTGTTGTTGTTGTTGTTGCTGTTGTTGTTGTTGTTGTTGTTGTTGTTGTTGTTGTTGTGTATTGCTGTGTGTTTTTTTTCTGACATTCGTTTCTCTCGATCTTTATCTCTTTCGTTCTTTCATTCGTTCTTGCGTTTGATGTGTTTTTGTTGTTTCTGTCCTTCGTTCATTTGTTCTTGGCATGCATGCATACATACATACATGCATGCATACATACATACATACATACATACATACATTTATACGTACGTACGTACATACGTACTTGAAGACCTACTTTCATACCTACATACATAAACACCTGGATACCTTCATACGTACATGCAGAAACACATCCTTTCGAGCCTCAGCTGCAGCGATGGCCTCTTGGATTTCTTTATCAATCTCTGCCTGTGAAATCCATGCCGACACACACCGAGAGGGTCTGGAATTGGCATGCAAGCACTCGGATGCCTCAATGTCAGCAGATGTTATCCTCAGGGTGGCTGACACTTGGCAAACCATGGCAGCTGCAGCATCGATGATACGGCTCCAAAAGTCAGTGATGCAAACAAGGAGTGGGCTTCGGCATGCAAAAATCCCGGAGCTCTGGCCTCGAGACAAGACGGCAACTCGTGATCTCTACGAAAACTGCTTCCATCTGAGACTTCGACGTTCGCGGGATATAATTCCGGAAGCGGATCTGGCGGTCATCTGGCAGGTGTTGCAACCGTCTCACCGACTAGCAGTCAGGCAGGGGAAAGACCCCTTCTCTCCATTGCACAGCAAGTAACTGTCTGTGCGAGCCTTTTTTTTCTTCTGCCTGCTTGCTTTTCTTTGTTTTCTTCTTAGCTGGCCTCTGCTTTTTCCAGGACCGATGAACCCACACATCTTGCTAGACACATGCTGCCCAATCGTAATCATCCAAGACATTCCAAGACCCAGGCTCCGGCTTGTGGCCCTGTCAGAGAAGAAGCTATTGCAGGCATCAGCGACCGTTGTCCAACACACTTCAGACGAGTGGTAGTGCACACCATGCGCTCTTGCAGAGTATCATACACACGCACACAGCCTCTTCTATGGCCATTGCCGGGTACAGGCTGCGTCTATGCTTGGCCCACTGCTGAGCCATCGAAAAAAGTAATCAAAGCAGGTGCCGAGTCCGGATGTCAATCCGCATGCAAGGCTGAATCAAGAGCTCCAGAGTTTAGCAGGTTATGCATCAAACGCACACACTGACTTGGCTTCAAGACCTCGCAAGTGAAGAAGTTCACCGTCTGCTCCTCTGCCTAGCAGCCGATGGCGACATCAAATGATCGGCACCAGCACACACACAGACAAGCACGTGCCAGGAGAACCAAGACACGTTGGAAGATGTCTTCGAAGTCGTATCTTACATGCGAGCGTCGAAGTATGCGCTGCTTTGCAAGCACCTGGAAAACTGGCACAGATTATGCCCAGAAGTGGATGCCGTGGCACATGTAAAAGCGCGACAAAGCCGTGACAGGTCGCCTCTGTTTTCGACGAGCTTTCTCGTCGCCTGCTTCAAGTGAAGAGTGAAGAAGCTTGTTTCACACACTGTCCGGCACAAGGTGGATGATCGCTCAGCGCTACAACTCAGGCAGCTCTGAACCTGTTCCATGGAGAGGTCATCGGCCGTCACCAGATACAAAGAAGTTCTAGGCTCTAGACTGCGCAGCCGTGAAACATTGGCCTCTCGAGTTTGGTCGAGCTGCGCCGCTTCCCGCCTCGGACCTTGAACGGAATGTTGCGGAAACAAACAACTATTTACTTTACATAGCTCAATGAACATATTCATTGAGTTCTTCGTAAGATGCTAAGGCAACTCTGGAATGATCTTGTGGTACTAGTACAACACATGGGGAAACATGAGACATCTTGCAAGAACCAAGCTAGGCACAAAAGATGAATGAAAGAGTTCCACGTCGCTGCCCTCGGACTCCCAAGGATCCGCCTCGCAGGAGTTCCACCCACCCAGAGCATACACAAAACTCGCACTGCCTCCTCTCCGGTACTGAAATCTGTCTCCAATAAGACCAATCGATTTCGCTCCTTCCGTGCCTGACAACACAGCGAGGTCCAGATGCACACTTGGAAAGAGGGCCCAAGTGGCAAAAACTCACATTATTCATCGTATTTTCGTCACCCATACCCCACTGCAAGTGTGAGAGAACGCTCGTGAGTGACACATGAGAGGCCCACTATGGCCTAGATTCGTGGATACGTGTGCGACTCGGGCAACTCGTACCGACTGAGATACTAAACGTCAACTGCATAGCCGCAGAGCGTATGCACGATGTGCCTGCCAATGCTACATCTCTGCAAAAACTGAGCACTCATCACAGCCTTAAAGCTGCATTATTCATAGTCGATGGTCGCTGATCTCGTAAAACCCACCGTAGCCAAAGACACAGATACCAAGACGCTACGATCGCGACAGACCAGCTGTGCAACAAGATTCAGGCCTTCGGCACAGGCCTGGCGTTGACCAGAGTGCGTATCAAAGCACAGTCAGCACTTGCGCCAAGGAAGGATGACGTCGTGCAAGTGGGCCATCAGAGTTGGGCAACATGCCACTTCTTTTAACCAGATTGGGTCTGACTGTCCACCGTAGTCAGCTCTACTTCTTCGAAGTAGAGATGGCGGCGGCACACACTGACTCGGAGAGATTTCTCCGCAACAGATATGCCTTGCAGGCATATCCGCTATTGCAGGCATAACTCACATGTCTGAATCCCCTACAACACTCAAATGGGTAGCGACCCTGCCGATTCAGGCAGAATACTTTTGGAATTCAATAGTGCAGCGCAAAGATACCTGCATGAATCGCGGATCACACACTTCATTGGACAACTTCACTGCGAGCAGCCACCCGATTGAGGTGAGGCTCGCTGTATCACAGCCACACGGCAATGACAGTGATATCGTCGCAGCAGTCATCCTCATTTGGAGCAACAAACCGGCTAGCTTCAGATTGCGCGCCAAGTATCACAGAAGGTTACGGATGCGGCTTCTCTGAAGCAAGCTACGGATTCCGCAAGCCACTGCGCTCTCGAATCGGACACCAGCTTCCTCGGTATCGGCAGGTGTGCGATTTTTAAGCAGAATCACCAACCACAATTGCCCTGGAATACAGTGTGTCATCGTCTACTGCAGTCAGCGTCTGCACCTTTTAATAAGTATTGCTAGAAAGTCTCCCGTAACTTCGGGATCTAAGCCTGCTCGAAGCGATATGTAGTGCCTACTTGTTGCTTACGATTGACCATATTAGACAGGCACCTTGACACTGCAAACCAAGGCCAGTTATGGGCAAGGCTCACTGCAGCATCGGCAAGATTTTTGCGCCCAACCTCCATGGATATGCAAGCTTCTGATTTTCACAGGTTCGTGCTGCTGAACATCTCAGATTGGACAAGCCTTGAACTTTCTCATGCTGGACTTGTCTACAGGCTTTCCCGGGGTAGCATGCACTCTTTCTCGCCTGGCCTGCAGCACGGTGCCTATAGCATCCGCATCGCTCAGGAATTCCCAAACTCCATCGGAGCAGCAAAGCAGCAGATCTTCCTTCTGGAACTCAAGCAGCTTGAAACTTGGCCTGAGTGAGTGGCAGGGCCTCATGACCGTCCCCAATGCAAGGCTGGGAAGCTTAAAAGCCACAAAATGTAGAACTGTTTGAAGAGTCGTGATACGAGCACAGTCGCTTTCGCTGAAGACACAAATGACAAACGTTTAGAGCTGCAAAGAACACCTAAGGACATGGCTGGTGAATCACTCCCACAGAGTGTCCAGACAAGTCCCCGATGGAGCGGGACATTGCCAAGCCTGGAACCTCCTTGTTCTTGGCAAATATTCGGTGTGGCACATCCTTGATTGTATGCAGATTACCGGCGGATCGAACTATGACGAGCAGACAAGCAGTTGTCAAGGAGCACCAGGGAGCAGCAACACTTCGCCACCACTCTCGACAACACGGGCTTTCTCCTAACGCATGAGCATTTGTGCCGGTTGGGGTCGTCCTCACATCGGATGAACTAATAACCATTCAACCTTGATGGTCCTTTGGATCGTTGGGCTTATGGTCTTCTGAAGCTCCCACCTGAGTCGGCCATTCCATGCCAAGCATCCAACTACTGCAGCTGGAAAGCCCTAAAAGCCGAGTGAAGTCGAGCTGCACACGAAGGTTTTCCCTCAGCACCGCCCAAGTCCGGAGTCAGTGGCATCGCTATTAGTTGGAACAAGTGCAAAAAGCAGGCTGGAGGAACAAAATCAAGCAATGTTTGTGTTTCGCTGTGTTCTGCCAAGCCGCTTTCGAACGAGATGAAGGCCGGCCCAGCACACATCTCGAATCTCCAGCCTTGCTCACAGCAATGCAATCGATTGAAATATGTTCCATCCTTCTACCTTGCTATCCGATGTTTGGCCGCTTAGCCGGCTTAGCCGTTGGCCCAAGCCAATAGGAGCTGCTTTTTGTGTCGGTCGACGACAGCCACCTTCAGCTGCCGCACAATGCAGCAACTTCACAATCGGACGCAAGCTGATCTTAAGCTGGTGTTCAGGCCGCTGCAGACAACGTGGTCCCACTCAGCCTATCATGCTGGGGCATGTTTCGTCGCTGTAGGCCTATGCAACTCGAATGCTATGAATGTAAGTTCGCGGCGACAATTCGAAGTCCTTCGTCGTAGCTGCGCACACCAATTCCTGCGATTCTTCGCTAGGACCAGGCGATAAGGCTCCAGGATGGATGATGGACTCTGCTGCCTACCGATTACCAGCTGTAAGAAAAGGCAACGCTGCTAAGAAACATCAACGTTTCTAGTTACTGCATTGGGCAAGCAGCCACGAACGCATCCACTCCACCAGAAACAAACGAACGGGCGAAGGCCAAACTTGCAGTGTGGCCTGTTCATGGGATCGTGTGTCGACAAGTACCAAAGCAAGTAAAAATGGGAAAAAGCAGTGTTCATGGGCAACAGTGGCAGAAAGGCCTGGTGCACGATGTCGAAGATCCTGGTGAAGACATCTTGGAGAACAAACAGGTGCATCAAAGGCGTTTCAAAGCTAAGCTTCCTCGTCATAACTGTCTCTGCCGGTAATTCCTTGTTCGTCGACATGTGTTCCAGAAGCATCCTGCAGTCTTTCAACGCACCGGTGAGCACCGCAATAAACTCGTGTATCAAGACCCGTGGCTAAACGCAACCATGCAGTCCGCAGCACAAACTTGCAAGTCCAGTGAGATGCCCAGTGACCGCCAATGCCTTCGGCAGGGTTGGGAATCGGGATTGGCATTTCATAGTGCACCAACATGCAAAGTCTTGAATGCTTCGGAGCACCAAGGTCTCGTAAAGTTCTCGACTCGATAAGACGAAGGGGCAAACAACATGTAGCGGTAGCATGATAAAGGAACGTCTTTGTTGGTCGTCTGATGCAGGATTCTTCTTGATACACAGTAATCTGACAGCTGAGCAAAGCGCCATGTCCATCTGCAACGCAGCAAAGAAGGAAGTGTCCACACTCTGCAACGAAGAAATTGTCCTGCTACACAGCTCTACTACGTCTGCCACCATCTCCAGCTAAGCATGTGCAGCTGCTCACCGCAACTTGTGTACCTCTCTACGGGAGGTGGAGAACTTCACAGTCGACTGAGTTGTGCAGATCACTGCAGTGCTTTCTATGCGGTTCGCTGCTGCTTGTCAGGCACACGCTTGCGAGAGAGCAAGGATGCGCTTGGCAGACATCGGCAGAGCCACAAGCCGCAAAGCAGCAGTCCTGGTTCGGAGTCCCTGGCTTGCGGCCCTGGCATTTTTCATGTTCTCTTGTGAACTGTGCAGCGCTACCGCTCTCCGCGCCTTTGCGCAGCTCACAGCCACACCCGCCTTCAAGAATCGAGACCTCTCTCAGCAAAGCTTAACGCGCTTGACAAGGCTTGACGACCCATTGGTCCACGTGCCCGGCCTGGCGGCAACATCGCTGGCACATCCGGCTTGTTCTAGAGACTTCTCCTAACAAAGTGTTGGACTCACCACTCATACGATGGTCCAGAGGGCACAGCCCTGTCCTTGAACTCACCTTCAACAACTGCATCCAATCCACCTGCCTCGAATGGCACAACTAGTTTCCACTTCCTACAGAGTTTCACTCTCAGCCAGCCTTCGTCATCCCGAGCATGCATGCTTCAACAGCCACACCTGCGCCAAGAACAGATCTTCTCTTGATTCACTTGCATGGAGAACACTCCAAAAGCCATTTCCAATGAAATATAGAAATAAACCTGAACGAAACCTGAAATAAACCTGTCCGATAGTCAAACACAAACTAGCCAAAAACAATTATCTAAAAAAATCTTGAAAACCCAGAGAGCCACGATGCTGGACATCACAACTCGTTAATCTTGCCACACTTGCTGACTTGCAACGACTGGACCCGCGAGGGCCGGCAAGGGGGCGGGCGAAGCGGGCAGGGGAGGGGGGCGTGCAAGAGCGAGCAGTGCGCAGGCATCATTTGGGGCCTGGCGTTTTTCTAGTCTTTCTGGTTTTCCAAAATTGCTGATCTAGGTCTGGTTTTTTCTGGCACCCCCCCAGGGACGGTTTTGAAAAGCCATGAAAAAACAAACATGCGACCGGAACCCAGGCAGGCCCCCCCGCGCATCTGTTCTCTCAGCTGCCAGGGAGTCAGGGTTCATGGCCTCGGTTCTGAGGGCTGCGGGTCAGCTTTGGTGTAGCTTTACTTGGCTTTCGCTAGGTTTTTAGGTTTGATTTGTTGACGAGGAACCTTGGCTAGTGCCCGTGGAGGTGGAGAAACTCTGTGTGTCTGTCTGCCTGCCTGTCTGCCTGCCTGCCTTGCTGGCTGTCTGGCTGTCTGTCTCTGTTTCTCTGTCCGTCTCTGTCTGCGTGTTTCTGTGGCTGCGTCTGCATCTGCGTGTGCGTCTGTGTGCGTCTGCGTCTGTGTCTGCACCTGCCTTCTGCCTCTGTGTCTGTGTCTGTGTCGTCTGCTGTCTGTCTCTGTGCCGCTCTTGTTGTCTGTCTGCAGTGCAAGCAAATCATAAATGACTTCACAAAGCCCCGGCACACGGAAACCGACGGAAAGGTAGGCATATTGCTGGCTAGAATGCCATATCCCCGTGATGAAATAATGCCTGTGTGTAATCCAAACACCGCAACCCAAGCCCGAGACCCTTCGACCTGCGAACCCCGCCCGGCCCAAACACTAGACGCCCCGCGCAGGCACACCCGAGCTCGGTTGCCAGGGGTTCAGAAGAGGCTTGCAAACCCAGAAAGCAAAATCCGAATCCTTCAGTCTCAACCACGGAACCGAAAATCCCAGACTCCGAAACCTAACCCAAAACCTTTCGGCCAACAAACCTCACCCGCCCCAGACGCTGAACACGACGTCGCGATGCCCCACATTTAATTTGTTGGCATGTTGCAATGAGAGCGGTGGGCGGCACTGCTTGGTTCAGCAGTATGCCCAATGACTCAGGTAGTGATGGACACCCCTGTTCCCAATATGGGGCGGTGACGCTGACCCTGGAGAAATTGCGGTGTGGTCGGTTTCAAGGTGCCTGCCTAATGTGAAATCATATTACTATTACCTTTCCCGCTGGGATGCTCTCACCGAAAGGACGCTTCAGCTGCCCGTCCGAAACGGTTTGATCAACGACTGCAGAAGTCAGACAACGGGGTGTTTCGTCACCAAGCATTGAAGCAACACGGAATGAGCATGACCATGCCTTGGAAAACCTTTGATGGATCTTGCACGAGATATTGAAGTTCTCCCATGCCAGACGTCACTGCGGCCGGGGAGATGTCCTGTCGGCGCAAGGACTAACAAACCATTAGCCAATTCCGTAGCCACCACATATCACCTGTCACACACACACCCAGGCCATCCCGGTCACTTGCAGCACGGCTAGAGATGGCAACAAAGGCACCTCGGGTGCAGGACCGCCACCTGGAACGAAGTGGCTTCTGCGCCGAGTCCGCTTTTGCGTTGGCGCATCCTCAACAACAGTCTCGTTGACACCGAACTTTATAGCATCCTCCTTAATCTCGTAATTTTTCGCCACTGGAAGAGAAATCCGAGCTGCTTCGGTAGCGTCGTCCACATCCACCGTGACGACGCCATCAGCCTGCTGCTCGCCCAGAACGTCTGCTTGAGCAGCATATCCCGAGTACGAAGCCGGCGCGTCCTGCAAACCAATGTGAAGACTGTTTGCTGCCTTGCAGATTGCAACGTGCCTTCTCCACCACCTCTATCTGCACTGAATTGGAAGAAGCGTGTTCTGCTGTCGCAGCCAAAGTGGAGGCATCACCGCCTCCTGCAGCTTTCACATCCTGGACAAGGTTTTAAGCGCTATCTAATGTTAATGTCAACAGGGCTCTACTCAAGTTCACGGACAGGCCACGGAGCTAGGAATCTTCTGCGAGCTCCGACGACTTTTTGCTGATGTAGGCGTCGCCTCTAGACTTGCGACGGCAAAACTGGAATAACGAAGCTTCCGCCGGCCTTTGTGCTTTTGGCATCTTCACAGATGCAACAGATGCCAAACATTCGCACTCAGTCTGCCTCAGCAGAAATCGACATGTCGGAAAGATCATGCAGTCTGCTTGCCTGGCAACACTGGGCTCTGGACTTGGCTTGGCCCGTGCTCAACGAGCTAGAGGCAGATGCATCAGACCACCATGAGGTCATGAGGTCCGTGCGGCAACCCCTTAACTAGATAAAGATGTGCAACCCAAACTCAGGCTATCGCCAGAATGCATGTCAGGAATTAGCTTGGGAACAATGCAACACGACGGCCTGCAAGGTTACCAATAGTCTCACACTCTGTGCTGAAAGTTTGCAAGAACATGTGATACCGCGACATCAACTTCACATCCGATTGAGCCCATGCATATGTATTTATTTATGTTCTTATATATACGTATATCGGAGCATGTCGTGTCTGCTAAACCTGCAAACAACCTGGATGGAAGGGCGGCGAACATTCGCAGCCTAGATGGCGTCTGGCGAAGGCGAGCAGATCGACGCACCTCCACCTGGCGGGCTCGTACTGCTTGCACTGCAGTGGCATCAAACTTGCGAAGCTCTCTCTGATGTGTTACAGCTTCATATTCATGCTCAGTCTGTGCCGTTGCCTTGCCGTTTTGAGCAATGACTTTCGATGACGCGACCATGCTGAGCTTGATCGGCTTGGCAATTGATTCCCGAAAGGGCCATTCAGCCGGGTTTGCCATGTCGTTTACCAACATGAACCATACTAACTGACAAAGTTATCTGTGGGTAGATTTGACAATCCGCAGACCGGCAATGAGATAGCAAACGGCTTCCGACGGTACGCAGACTACTCCTGCCTGGAGAACGGGGCGTCTTTTCACAGCGAACATGGTTACACAGGCAACTACCCCTTTGCATCACGCACATGAGCTTGTGTGACCTGTGCCAAACATGGTGAAACTGTCCAGGAACCGCTTTTGGGTCAGGTGCTTCACGAAGCGCTCAAGCCAGGCTTCGCCAGGATGAGTATAGCTAAAAATCTTCGGTCGATCACCCCTTGGTATCCCAAGCTGCCTTGTCATCCGTACCGAAATGTAGGTACATGGTTCGCTGCCTGCCTGCAAGAAACGAAAGGGCTTGAGCGATTCGTTAACCATGATGGATGCCAGAATTCCTGAGGGTGCAGCTTCTTCAAGTATGGAGAGAAGTACTCACTCGTGGTGTCCATGACACAAATGGCGCCCTGACGGCTTGATTTCGTGACAAATCTCCAATTAATTGTGGCAGTGAGCACCTCCTTGATGGGATACGCAGTGTATTGGACAACAGTGAGCAAAGCCTCAGCATTTTCCCACAGGTCGCACGGTAAGTCCTTCCAAGCAAAACCCACCGCTACTTAACGACATCCTATTAAAACCGAGCGTCCGAACCGGTGGCCATTACGCCACGTCCAACGACTGCCAGTGCGTCCAAGGAGGTCTGAATGGACACACAATGACGAAATCTGCAACGTGTGCACAAACATGCATGACTCCAACCTCGGCACACACCCGGGCAGAACTTTTCTCTTCTGGCGCTGTCTGCCCTTCAGCATCACCAGCCGCCCTTGCAACAGGTCGGCCATCCCACTGATACTAAACATTGACCGGTCAACCGAAACTCTGCCAATGTAAACGTGTTATCAATATCGGGATGAGGATCTGTTCGCCGCCATCGGACATAGCAACCGTTTGAGAAAGCTCTGTTACAACTGGCACCTTTGGAAATATGATTGCACAAAACTAGACATGATGAAAACTGTTACTGTATCGCTGCTTACATCTGCTTGAACACTATCACTACCCAGTTTGATCTCTGCAGTGGCAGTGATGTCAAGTTTACTCACACATTTTGTTTGGAACGAATTGTGAATCTTCCAACCTACATGGCTGCAGAAAACGACCGGGTCAACAAGTTACGGTCTGAGTTAGAAGTCGCCAAAAGAATTTCGGCGTGTATCTTCTCGCTTTCACAAACGCGTAACTTTGCACCAATTGCGGACGGCCAAGCAAGGAACTAACTGCTTGGCTGAGTGAACAGTCGCTTGCATCCATTTTGATGCGCACACACTGGAGGACACAAGTGCCAGCCCATGTTCAGTTGAGAAAAAGCAGGCTTTCATATCATCAAAACAAAGTGCCAAAAACGCGAAGGTTCGATCAAAAGCAAAGCAAAAGGCAACAGACAAGTAGACATGAGCAACGCAACAAAAAACGACTTCAGGAAGTGCGATTGCTTCCGGAAAACCAGAAAGCAATGGCAAACAACTTTGACCAAGTGTTGTCCAAGACAAACGTGCTCAACAGTTCGAAAAAGTTCGTTTTGTAAAAGTTGGAACTTCAACAAACTGCGTTGGAACGTTTGTTCTGCCATGCACAAACCAACAGAAAATACGTTAAGCTTACACAAAATTTTCTGTTCGGCTCAAAGCAACTCGTCAATGAAGAGCTAGCTAGACACTTGCAGGCTGTTACTAACAGAGCTGCGCAGAGTTTTCGTGCCACCTGGCGCAGCGGCAAGGGACCGCCCGCAAAAAACATGTTTTCTCGAACCGCGACGGCGCGGGCAGCGGCAACAACGACGCAAGAACGCGTGGATGGGATGCAAGTGAGAATAGAGGCGTTGTGCGGCAACGACACTGGAATTTTAGTCCAGTCTTTCAGCACTTGAAAAACGTTTCCTCCGCATGTTTTGCGATAAAACCAGAAAAACGCGTTGTGGATCACGCACAATTTTGCACGCACAATTCGCATAAAATTTCTCCATCGCTAGGACATGTCCTTGTCACTTGCAAAAACGTTCAGATTAATGCCACCTATTTGTTTGCATTTTTGGGCTCTGTCCACATGCGGCGCCCGTGCGTGGACCTCCAATTTGAGCACTCGGGGCTGGGCCCCAGACCTTCGACGAAGGGGGGGCTTAAGGAGGGCTTCAATGAAAAATTCAATGGACGTTTCCGAGCTCCTCTGGAATGCACG